CAGAAAAGAACGACGCAGAGGTAGGAGAAAAGTCAACGACTCGTGAACCCTTCGCATCGATTGCAAATATTTAAAGCACGAGGTCAGGGGATAGAGAGCGGCTGCCGATAGCCGGCGAGCGCAAATTCGATTTCGAATATTTCGCCAAGAATCTCTCTCTCTCTCTCTCTCTCTCTCTCTCTCTCACTCTCTCTCTTCCGACGGTAAATACTCGAAGGACCAGAAGCCAGACCGTGCCAGCGCGATTCGCCGGGCCGACATGACCGGCCGTTTATCGGGCCTGCGAAAACGCCCGGCGACGCCGGGAAATACAAGCGGACGGCGGCGTTAACGTCGTTACGAGTTGGCAACTCAATTTTCGCACCGGCAACCGACGCCTACGCTCCCGCGCACTTTGTCGCGTCTTGGTCGATAAACGCGATGGGCGCGTCGTCGATGCCACACGGCTGCCGCGCGCCGGCACGTCTATTGCCACGCATTGTGTCTTGATTTTCGTCGTAATTCGGCCCCCCGCTGTCTCTCCCCTGTCCTCGCTTCTCTTCTCCTTCGCCGTGCTGGATGTGCACACGTCGCGGTGCACAGGACAGGTAATTCTGACGGGGTGAGAAAAAACCGACGCCGAGCCCGGAACGGGAGAATCGTTCGGCTTGTTCGAACGGCGCGGCGTAATTAGTCGGTCGGCTGAAATTGCGTCGATTTGTCCGCCGGTCTGTTTGTTACGCGCTAATGACCGCGAATCGATCACTCGGCCGCTCGAGAAGCACTGTGTCCGGCTTCAGTTATTATTCAGTCGACGCTCCGAGGGAAACACACGGAGAGGTGCCTCCGCGTCCGTCCGTCCCTCCGTGCTTCCCCCTCTCTCTCTCTCTCTCTCTCTCTCTCTCTCTCTCGGACTCGCGGTGGACTAAGTAGTAATTAAAGTCAAACAGTACTTTTGCGGAGAGGAAGGAAAGGAGAGGGAGCTCGGTACGTTGTATTTCTTTTCCAACCACCCCGTCTTTCGATTCGGAACCGCTCATCTGCATATTACTCGTCACGACGTCACGATATCGCGACATTAAGCGCCCGCTCGTCGCTCGATTTGCATAAAACGCCAAGGCTGAGATCGAAGCCGATGAAACGACGAGCGCTCTCGACAGGACACGCACACACGCTGTTCCGTCGCATCGGCGAGCCGACGGAGAGGCGCGCCAACAAGTGTCTCAGCACGCGTCTTCGCACACGCTTCGGGTCGCCAACTCTCTTTCTGTCTCTCTCGCTCCCCCCTCTCTCTCTCTCTCTCTCTCTCTTCTTTTCTCTCGCGGGGAAATTAAACGCCCGTCGGCGGAAGCACCGATTCTCCATCAAACTGACCGATACCCAAATGGCGTTCCCTGAATAAGAAAAGAAAGAGGAGGAGGAGGAGGAGGAGGAGGAGGAGGAGGAGAAGAAAGGAGGAAGAGAAAAGAGATTCCGGAGTGTCGGGAAATTCTTCCCTCGAGCGTATTTCCTCCGCCGGCCCTCGGCATTGCGCGAGTCTCACGGCGGGTCCGATGATGCCGCATATTTGCACGCCTCCGTGGCTCGCGTATCTTCTTCGGCTGTGCGCTAGCTTCACCGGCCGCGGAATTAGGTCACCCTCGCGGGCATTGAATCAAGTCGATCGGAAGAGCCGGCTGTCTTGCTAAGTGCTACTCCGCTCCGCCTTGTCGCCGGCATTCGGAGGAAACGAGCGGGGGATCATCCCGCGTGTAACGGAAAGCGAATTCCATCCCTGGTCCGAACTGCGAGCCAGCCGATGTGTAATTGAGACCAACGATGCGGAAGGTGACGAAAGGAATGGTGGGGACGTGGGGCGAAAACGGCGCGAAGAAGAGCAGCGGAGTTCGGTTTCGCCGCTTTGTCCCGCTCGCGCCGCTCGCGATTTAACTCTTTAACGCCTACTGGTAACTATTTAGTTACCAGAGACGCATTTAAGAATCCACAACTTAGTAAAGACAGGAGATATTTTTGTTTTCTTTGCACCACTGTAAAGGTGAATTCTTCTTCTAAAAAATGGTGTATAGATTCGGTTTAGTCCGTTTTTAACTCAGTTTTAATGATAACATGTTTTGTCAAATTTCAAGTAGGTATAGTTAGCAATTGTTACTGACATCTAGAAGTGCGCTATAAATGAATAGATTGGTATCTGCTATAATTTTATACATTTGGAAACTTTCTCAGATGCAAAATGTGAAATTAAAAGAATACACAGATTCAAAATGGCGAATCCAATATGGTGGACACGAAAATCAAGAAATCAAGCTACTTGGCGGGGGAAACCTGGGGATCTATAGTTTTTTATGCGGCGAAGAATGAAGGGACGATTGACTGTCTAAATGGTGGTCTACAAGATATTCTTCTGAAACAGTAAGCTTGACGCTCTGAATGATAAACTTCATTCACAAGTATAGTAAAGTTTCAGCTCAAAAATGTCAAGCTATCAGATCTGACTATCGTCAGAGTTATGTCGTATAGATTACCCTTCATTTTTCTCTGTATAGGTTGCTCATTTCGTATATGCTCTTAGGATCCAAGTCATATTTACCAATAAACAAAAAACAAACGATAAAAAAAAAACAATATAAAATCCTGATATTTTTTCTGGTTATCACTACTTATAATTTCAATTCAAAAAACTCAAATCTTATTCTTAAAACATTCATAAAAAAGTCGGGCGTTAAAGAGTTAACTCGAGCGGCCCACGGCCGCTTCCACGCGCCGATTGTAGCCGACCGAGTCGCAGGAAAACTCGCCGAGCTTCCTCCCGCCCCGCGGCGGAGGGGTCCGCGCGGGGCTTGTGACAAAGGAAGAGCGAATATCGCGAATATCGCGTTTTCATCGCGAGGTTCTCTCGCGCATCCGATCCAGCCAGCTGGAGAGTGAAACGGCGCACCTTATTAATTAGAGACTCATTAAGAGGATCTATGGGCCAATTTGTAATTAATTTAACGCGAGAAAGACAGGGAAAGAGAGAGAGAGAGAGAGAGAGAGAGAGAGAGAGAGAGAGAGGGAGAGAGAGAGAGGGAGAGAGAGAGAGAGAGAGAGAGAGAGAGAGAGAGAGAGAGAGAGAGAGAGAGAGAGAGAGCGAGCGATATGAAAAATCGCGTCGCTGCGGCGAGTCGTGGCGGCGGTTATTACGCACGATGCGCGTATCCTTCGCACCTGCTTCCCGACAAATTGCGTCGGTGTTCTTCGCATTTTTCTTAGAACAATGGACACATTGTGCAAATGTTATTTTCGTTCGTAAACGTTACAGCGCCCGCCGGAGCGGGGCACACGCGCGCGCATGACAACGACAAATGTACGCCGTTGTACCGAGTCCATTGTGAGGAGCTATTGTACGCGCGCGCTGCTGTAATCGGCGCGCCCCGTTTTGTTCTGTCCTCCGGTTTTGCAACAGCGAATAAAGAGAGGGAGCAGAGGAGAGAGAGAGAGAGAGAGAGAGAGGAGAGAGAGAGAGAGAGAGAGAGAGCACGCCGGATACCGACATCGGGCCGACGCGGCGCCGACGCGCGGCAGAGACACGGCAGGATCTCGCACGCGAGAGCGACGCGACGCGCACGGGACGTCCATGAGACCCAGCCGTGTCTCTTTACGCGAAGCAATTAGTTGATTCGGAGATTTAGGTTTAGATTCGGGGATTAGTTGATTAGTTGAATCAAGATTATCGTTCCGCCGTAACGGCTAATCTGATCGAGTTCTAAGTGGGCTCGGTCGATTCCTTAGGGTCGACTTGCATAACAAAACTGTCTTTACTCTTGTCCCACGTGCTCTGTAAGCCGAGATATTTAAGTTCAAAGTACGAAATCGCGAAATTTCATCTTAGGAAATATCGTCGTCAAAATGTACAGTTCCATCAGACCAGTACAGATGGCGGCTGTGAAGAACTTGTCGCTCAGTGCTAGGCCCGCGCACGTGTCAATGCTTGTAACCTAACCTAACTTATCTTGATAGTTTGATGTCGCTAATGCAAATGTATTCGCAAGTTAATCACAATGGTATAAGTCATATTTATATTTCCGATTATCTAAGAAATATATAGATTTACAGTTACACTTGCATTTGCAGTGATTAATATCCGTACTAAAATATCACAGACAAAAATTTATTTTTATTAACCTTCTAACGTAACAGCACTATGCTGAGTGGTTGAAAAACTCGCTATCACCATTATTAATTCTAGGCAAGAACCACTTGCCATCATTCTGCTAATTTAAGGAGTAATGAATTATTACAGAAAGAAGTGAGCTGGTATCGTTTTTATCAAATTTTAAAGATCATCGGATGTATGCGGGAACCGCGAGAGCGTCGCGTGTTCGAATCTCCTCCCGAAGCATCGGTCGCGCGATCACGCTACAAGGCTGGACTCACATGATCCGTCTAGACGACGGCTGACAGCAGTCCGTCAATCCTCCGTCAATATTTTTTTTTTTAGGAATGTGCCCAGAGGACGCGACGATGACGGGTACTCTGTGGATGTTCCGACGCGAAAGCACTGAAGAATGTTTTGACGGAGGATTGACAGAGTCAATCTTGTCTGCCAGCGCGCGAGTAACAGCGTGTGAATCCAGTGTAACACGGTGAAGTGCTAAGCCTTTCGGCGACGAGGACGACGACGGGGCTTGGGCGAATCCGACACACATTCTTCGACTTCTCCTTCGGCTCGCTCTCGGACGATCTTTCTCCTTATGCGCCCCCGCTTCATCCGTTATGAAACGTTCGCGGTTGCGCGTCGCTGCGGATGATTCGAGAGTAGCTTTGGGCCCGACGACCGGTTGAGTCCCCGCGTTTGTGTCTGTATATGTGTGTGTGTGTGTGTGTGTGTGTGTGTGTGTGTGTGTGTTGGGTGTCGGGAAACGGCCAACTTGGACCTCCCTCACTTGGCGCACCCGGATGAAAGGGTTAAAGGTAGCCCCGGGATATAAAATTGTCACCATGGAAACTGCTCGAGCAAATTGAAAAGCAAGTAGTTCGCTTACCCTCCTTTCGTGAGATGAGAAGAACGGCGCTCCCCGACGCGAGGAGACTTAATACCTTATCAAACCAGGTACGATCATTGTCGAGGTCTCGTGTCGAGACCGAGCACAGCACACTCTTAGCACACAGATCACGGCTCTTCCCTCCTCTTTCCCTCCTTTCTCTCTTTTATTTCTTTTTCTTTTTTATATAGGCCGTTCTCCGAGTTTTCGTTGTTGGTACTTAAAGAGAGAGGTAGATTTAACAGGGCCGCTACGGATGAACCAACTTTAACATCGATAATAATTGAACGCCGAAACTTCAACACGACGATTAAGTAGTAATTGACAACATTCGTTTGGTCGTTAAGCGTCACCTTTCCTCTCTCCTTCCGCCGGCTCGTACATCCGTACGTTTTTCATATGACTCTCGTCAGCGACGTACATGTAAACGTATTTACACGTATACATATATGTAGATATATGTATACATAGATTTTCATAGAGATTTTTATAGTCGATATATGTGTATATATATATATATATAATATATATATAGAGATCTCTCAAACTTGGAACAAACAGTAAATTCTTAATCACTCCACGAATTAGTAATATTATTCAGAAGGTAATCAGTATCATAGCAGCGGCAATTATCAGCGACGATCAGCGCTCTCGTCGGATCTCAGCGTGAAAGCAGTTCGTGATTTTGTCGAGCGGTCGCTCCTTCTCAATCGCTCGCTCGCTCTCGCTCGCGCTCGCGCGTGCGCGCGCGATGCGATGCCTCTCTGCGATTTTATCTCTTATTCCTCCAGATATGTCACGAGATATCATCCATTCGTGCGATGCTGGCCCTTAACGTATCCAATTAAATATCCTCGGTATCTTCAATCGTAAGCAGGAGATAGAGGGAGGGAGAGAGAGAGAGAGAGAGAGAAAGAGAGAGAGAGAGAGGGAGAGAGAAAGTGAGAGTGAGAATTTCCTTCCGTTCCTCGTTCCACGAACTTGGGGGCCGATCTTTCGTCGATTTCCCCGCACACTTTTTCCTGCTCTGCTTCTTGCACGACACTGGTGGAATCACAATAGACTGCGACTTTCGGAGCACCCTTTAAACCCGATTCTTGCTCTGTCGTGTTATTCGTCGTGTCACAACGGGCCCGCGTCAGCGGAGGAACAGCCGGAGGGTCGTTACGACGGATCGCGTGGTATCACTGAAAGCACAACACGTGACGCGTGGTTGAGGTTGAGGTTAACGCGTCCGCCGTCTTGTAATTCACTCGCGCCGGAAACGGCAGTCGTCCATCCGCGTCTTTTTCCGGCGACCGACACGTGCGCGCGTCTCGTTCTTCTGGCTTTATCGCCGGCGCGACGTCGACCTTTAAGGAAGGAAGCTGCTTGTGCCGCGAATCGCGTGAGCGAACGTGAGCAAGCGACAAACAACAAGGGGGGGAGGGGGAGAGAGAGAGAGCGTAAGATGGATAGGCTTCCGGCATTCGATTTCTACTCCTCCTCCAATCCTCCCTCCTTCCCCTCCTTCGCACCCCCGCCCCTCGCGGTATGTCTCTCAATATTACGTCCTGTCTACGAGACGTTTCAGCATGCCGAGAATCTCGAATGCACGCGTGTACGCGCAGCGACCGCGAGTAATCGCAGGGGACGGACAAATAGACGGATGAGTTTATTAGCGCGTTTTAATATTTCCAGTTTTGCCGGATTTGCCGGAGCTTTGCTCTGCTTCTGCTCGCGCCAGCGGAAAACACCTCGCGTGTAACTTTCTTGCCGGAGAGATGCTTAACTTTCTCTCTCTCTCTCTCTCTCTCTCTCTCTCTCTCTCTCTCCTTCTTCCTCGTTAGGAGAGAAGAGTGTGACACGGCGCGACGCGACGATGCGCATAATAAAGCGAGCCGCACATAATCAGGAAAGTTCCCGAAAAGGAATCATTTTATTACGTTCGACCGTTTCGAAGTTATCGGATCAGCAAATTTCTTCTCAGCCAGATTCTTGAGAGAGAACGAGAACATGGGAGAGAGGGGAAAGAAAGAGAGAGAGGAGGAGAGAGAGAGAGAGGCTTGTCTCGAAGTTCGTATTTGCAACCAGATAGTTTGTGTTATTACAAACATGCTTCGATCGAAAGAGCTAAGTTTCTTGAACCAGATAATCAAGTTCCTCGCAATAAATAACTAAATTCCATTCTCCACCCTCGCTGTTGTTCCCTCGACAGCTCTACGATCTACCGTTCTCTCTCTCTCTCTCTCTCTCTCTCTCTCTCTATGTCTCGACCTATCTTTCTGTTCCTTGTAATTGTGACGTTTATCCCGACGTAATTGATTACATTCATCGCTGACGGGAGTAAAGCGACGTAATTTCTACTTAGCCAGGATTAACCGTCTCGCCGCCTTTTTATACGTCGCCAATAAAGTATGCGTTCACTCCCGCCTGGCGTATGCGCGGCATGGTTATGGCCAGGTCTATAGAGGGTTCATTGACGACCGTAATGCTGCAATGCTTTACCCTACTTTAGAAAAAAAAAAAAAAAGAACGCGCCGCTACGTGCCGCTAAACACGACAAGCGGTAGCCGCGCTAAGAATAAATGCAGCACCTTGAATTAAAGAGAGCGCGTATCGCGTATTGATTGAGGCGAACTTATTTTTCTGTCTAGATAATGCGTCGCTCTGTTTACACGGCCGCAAACTAATGCCGATTGCTCGGGAAACTTTGCGCGCGGATCGTTTCACTTCGCAAGAGTCAACAATAGGCACTTTCTTCTTTATTAACCGAGTCAAGTGCCTATGATGAACGACGAAGACCCATCGGCGCGAGGAATGACGGCGCGATTCGCGGCGTCCTGTTCTTTTGTTTTACTCTTTGTATTTCTTTCTCTTTTTTCTTTCGCTTTATTTCCCCTTTCAATCGAGAATTGACAATTTACCGGCGCAAAGGCGCAAATGAATTTTTCCGCGGTTTTACAGGCGGTTTACCCGCGGTATCAATTTCCACGGCGCAAAGCCGCGGAATTTTATTACGTTTGATTGGAAAACCGGCCGGGGGGGAGTTTTGGCTACAACTTCGTAGCCCGTGAAAGTACCGGTGCGTTACGACAGGGTATCTCCGCGCGCGCGGCACGTCGAGATTGCCCGCTCAGCTTTATTTCGCGCAAACTATGCGAATCCGAGAGGTCTATCGTCTGCGCGCCGCCTATCGATCCTCACCGATAAAAGAAGGAAACATTCGGTCGACGTGTATGCATTTTGTTTTACAGGACACGAGATATCTTCACGCTTATACGGTCTTCCCCGTCTCGAGATCGGCCGTCTATCGGAGTAACGATACGGCCGCGAGACGAAATTGCAAAGGATACGCGCACGCAGATACTTCTTTTTTTTTTCTTTTTTTTTCACCGACTCTAGCACGAACGGCAGATTTTATAGATGCTCGCAAACTGACGGTGTTATCTTTACTATTTGGTTTGCGTCAAAAAATCCGTTTTATCGGAAAAGCTTCGTGCACCGACGGGCAAATCGAATTTGAGTCTTCCGACTTTAATTAATCAACGATAATCGATTTCGGCGTGTACATCGCCGAGTCAGGCCGGGTCACCGCGTATATACTCCATTTTCCCATTCTTCCACGTTGCAAAACAGAGAGGGAGAAACGGAGAAATGAAGTGATGGGGAACGAGACAGAGAGAGAGAGAGAGAGAGAGAGAGAGAGAGAGAGAGAGAGAGAGAGAGAGAGAGAGAGAGAGAGAGAGAGAGAGAGAGAGAGAATGGAGGGAAGCGGAGGGAGAGAGAAGGAAAGAGGAACGGAATATCGGCCGAGAGGGACGCGCGCACTCACGAATTTCCCGGCGCACGAATACTTTCCACGCCTGTTTCTCACCGCGGCTCCTCTCCTCCCGCCTCGATAATATCCGCCACAACAGCCCGATAGCGCTTGCAGTGCGCTCGAACGTGTCGACTCACGCGCGAGAAAGGGAGAGAAATACGACGCGCGCGCGGCCGCGTGGGATCGCGTCGTTCGCACATGCACGCACGCCCGCACGCATGCACGCAGGCACGCACGCACGCTCGCTAACTCGCTCGCTCACTCTCGCAACGGCCGTTCGATCAGCGCGCACGCTACTAGCTCGCAGCGCGAGGAGCACCCTTATCGCCGCCCGTTCGACGGGGCGCACGCACGCACGCACGCGCGCCCACGCACTGCCGACGCGCGACGCATCGCCGGGGAATTCACGCGCACGGGCTCTCGACTCCACGCCTTAAATCCGAAATGTCGGCGGAGCTGCGAACGGAGCTGGGCCACAACTAGCTGGCTCCGCTAAGGACGTCTCGTCGCTCACGCGCGCGCTTCCGACGACGGAGAAACGGAGAAAACGACAGAGAGAAAAGGAGAGGGAGAGAGAGAGAGAGAGAGAGAGAGAGAGAGAGAGAGAGGCAGGAGGGGAGAAAGAGACAGAGAGAGAGAGAGAGAGAGAGAGAGAGATAGAGAAAGAGAGGCCGTTCACTCCGCGTCTTCGCCGGCTTGCTGTTCACGCGAGTAGCGTCGCTCAGATCTGCCGGCGGCGGCGACGGCACGCCACTCGACGACGACGAGAACAACGACGACGCCGGCACTTGTTCGCTACCGTATCCATGTCCAACTCGACCGGATGAGAGCTCATCTCGCGCATCGAGACCGGAGAACGCGCACGCACGTGAAAGTTGCCTTCCGACGGCAGCAGCAGCAGCAGCAGCAGCAGCGGCGGCGGTGGCGGCGGCGGCGGCGGCGCCGGTGGCAGCGCGACGCGAGTAGAAACGAGCCGGTGCGAGGGCGAGGGCGGCCGCGCGGCGCGACAGTGGAAACGGATCGTACGAGGCCGGCCGCCCATCCGTCCGCGTTCGCTCTGCCTTGCCTGCCTGTCTTCCTTGCCTTTTCCGCGCGCAGCGGGAAGGCCGTGTAGGCCGTGTTAAGCACGGCTCTCGCTACTGCCGGCTGGTACAACGTGTACCTCCGCTACTAACCTAGCGTGCCCGTCCTCTCGCGTCGCCTCGCCGTAACTCCTTCCCACCACCGGCTTTTCCCACCCCGCCGAGCCCCGCGCCTAGGCTGCCTGGCCAAACCCACCCTCCCCGCGCCCCATACGCCGCACGACGGCGCGCTACGCGATCAACCCCTAGGGTGCACGAACCACCACCCCTGCCGGCCGCGGAGCGGCAGCGCGCATGACGCAGTGCCGTGTTTATTTCGCCGGGGTGCCAGCGCGAGGCAGGCGGACCCGCTTCACTCTTTACCCAGTATCTCGCTTCTCTCTCTCTCTCTCTCTCTCTCTCTCTCTCTCTCTCTCTCCCCTGGTTTCTTTTTTTTTCTTTTTTTTCACCATGTACCGTGTAGCTGTTTCCGCTGTTTTTTTTTCTCGTCTCGAGCGACGCAGCCTGATGTCACCCTTAATCCCGCGAATGTGTCGCGCGTGTGCTCACGCGCACAAAGTGCGTGCCGCGCGCGCGATTGTCTCGCGCGGCGGGGGGGC